TGAGTGGAGCAGAGATGAGGGTAGGTGCAAAAGGGGAGAACAAGAGAGCGCGGCAGGGATATGAAGGGGGAGCTGAGGGGGGGGAGGGGGGGAGAGAGGGTAAGACGGGGAGAGAGGGAAAGATGGGGGAGGAGAGGTTAACCTTGAGGGAGAGAGGGGAAGATGGGGGGGAGAGAGGGTAAGATGGGGGGAAGAGAGTGGAAGATGGGAGTGAGAGGGTAAGATGGGGAGAGAGGGGAAGATAGGGGTGAGAGGGTAAGATCGGGAGAGAGGGGAAGATGGGGAGAGAGGGTAAGATGGGGAGAGAGGGGAAGATAAGGGTGAGAGGGTAAGATGGGGACAGACTGGAACATGGGGGGAGAGGGGAAGATGGGGAGAGATTGGGGAAGATGGGGAGGGAGACGGGAAGATGGGCGGAGAGAGGGGAAGATGGGGGGAAAGAGAGGAAGATGGGAAGCGAGAGGGGAAGATGGGGGAAGAGCAGGGATGATGAGGGGAGAGCGGATAGGATGAGGGGAGAGCGGAGAAAGATGAGGGGAGAGCGGAAACGATGAGGGGAGGGCGGTGAAAATGAGGGGAGAGCGGGGAAGCTGAGGGACGCGTGACATTGCTAGGTTGGGGTATAGGGGGGAAAGGGAGCGAAAAGGAACATACACCTGACTCGTCACGCACCTTAGAAATACGGAAAACGGGCACTCCTGTTCTGCTCTCCGACTACTTTTTACCGTCTGCGTCCAGGGTCGCCGACGCGCTCCAAGTCAACGAAACCCCCTGTTTAATCGACGGTACGCGCTACGTTGCTGACGCATCCGCAATCGACGCCACTCATTTGTCCGGACGAACATTACAATTTCCCTCGGCAATCCGGAAGTTAAGAGAATGTCAGATCTGGAGCGCGCAACTTACATTGTCGTACTGATACTGCTCTGACTAATATCGGAGCTGACTCTACGATCACGCCACAAGACGGGTGAAGCGATTAGCACTAGCAAGACGATAACGTCAGTGACATCTTCTGAAATTGGTGCTGCAATTACATCGATTACCGTGCTGAGATCTGTCCTAACAAGATGAGTGGCGAAACTACTGGTGAATGGAGATTAGGGTGAGGTAATGCTAGTCACACCCTCGCTATTGCATCTGTACTGGGTAGGGACGGGTGAGAGTCGTGGCAGGTTCGGAGATACGAGGTTCGGCTTGTTGATAACGCCGTGGTGGAAGTGCCAGGGTGGCGAAAAGACCCACCACTCCGATTGGTTCGCACAAATATAGTCTCATCCACTCGTTGTTTTACCAGATGCCCGAAAAAAGGTTCATCAGCACAAAAGTGAGTCAGCTGAACTTTTCAGCTCCTCCATCCACGCACGAATTCCACAACCAGACCAGACCAAAGGCGTCCCGCACCTCACGCCGAACTAAAAAAAACTTATGAACCAACTAGCGCCACGCCAACGACCACCCAGAAAGCACGAGCGCGCCCCAGCACACCAGCAGGTCCAACCAACCCCCACCAAAACAATACGCGCCATTAGTAAACTCGTTTGCACATACAGATAAAAGCAACCAATAATCATATTTTGACCCAACTTTGTGTACAGTACCGTGAATGTACATATGGGTTTGGCTGGATGGATAAGTGGGGACACATTTCGTCCGAGCCGCCTCAACATCTTCGCCACGCGCCCTTGGGGACTGTCCCCTGCCGCTTAGTCGGCGGGGCATTTCATTGGCCAATGGCAAAAGCCACCATCAGATGTGATCCCTTGCCACAAACAGATGTAATCGTCACCGTTGAGGGCCGCTACACCACCACCATCAAAACACACTCTGCTTCTTGTCGCACCGCGCACCCAGCCTAGTGTCAGTGATTCCCTCCCACCCGAGCAGTTCAACAGCGTCGACCCCTTCCCACCGCACTGCACCAAGGAAAATGCTTCAGCTTTCTACTACTCATACTGCACTGACCCATCACATTTGGGCCGATGCCGCGCAGCATGGCGGCTGTATTGCTGATTTGAATTCAGTCTCATCCATTCATCCGCGGCAGCCTCCTCTTTCTTCTGTTGCAAGTTCTACCTTTTGCTATCTTTCTGAGCATGACTATCCAAGTTCTGTCAATGTCGTCCATTTTCATCCTTTTCAACTCAAACTGATGGAAGGATTCTCAGACAGCTCCAACCGAATGATCTTAGACTTCAGGCTAGAAGCTCCCCGGAGCAAGCAAAGCTACTTGAAGTCACCTAGTTGGTACACGGTGAAGCCCGAGGCACAGCAGCGTTGAGTTAGCTTAGAGGTCGGGTGGGTAGATTAGAGGTCGGGTGGGTGGGTGGGTAGATTAGAGTCCGTGAGAGAGTGAGCTGCTAAGTGTCAAAGGCTAAACCGTGTGCTGCTAGGAATTATCGCGGCAACCATTTCACCGCGATTATTTCATAATCTCCTACGGAAGATCTACATGGCGAGCTTCCTCTGCAAGATCTTTTTTAAATTCGCCGTGGAGGAGATTTTACTTCGCGATCTACGCTCCAAGAGCTGCTAAAGAGTGGATGGTGCTTCAATCTAAAGCCTCGTAACCCAAGCAAAGGGGGACTCGCTCAAGCCAACCTGAAGCCGATTGGTCCATCCCGAACTGAAGATTTGGCTCTTACCGTCTCATTGCCGTTGGCGCTTCAAGCATGAAAGCCGTGAGGACTCGAACGTCGCTAACCCGTCGTGGATGGATCCGTGTCGGCGACCGTCTTGGCGACTCGAAAGCGACTCAAGCGACAACGCAGCAGCGATCGCCGACACTTCAGTTACTTCATGGTGCCCCCGTGGCGCCTCCCCTGCTGGTACAGCCTCTCCCGTCGCCGGTGAAGTGGAGGTAAGTTCTGTTGCTGTTTCATGAAATCTTTTCACTTGCTTTCGAGAAAGTTTCTAACTCATTTCACGTTTTTCCCTGCAGACGAGCGTCTTGCCATTTATGGGAGCATCTTCTCTCGCGGGAGGCGTTCGAAGAGCAAGTCAAACGCTTCTCTTGGCGAGCCGCCAAGATTCTTCCACGGCGAGCCGCCATACAAAAGCCACACGTGAGCGACGATGCAGTAACGCTCGCGGCTTGTCATCGCAGTCGTCGCCGAGATGTGCTCGCTGGTGGCGCGGTGACATTCGCGGAGATCCGCCAAGAAGGTCGAGAGGAGGTATGTGTTATTCAACTTATTCCTGCAACCGTCCTTTTATTCGTGTTTTTTTCTTTAACCGTCCTTAGAACTGTTTTAGAAAAAGTTTCTAACTCGATCCACTTTCTTTCTGCAGATAATCATCTTGCCGTTATGGAACGACAATGCAGTCGCGCTCGCGGCTTGTCATTGCTGTCGTCGCCGAGATGTGCTCGCTGGTGCCGCGGAGATGAGCCGGGATCCGGCCGAGTGGAGGTATGTGTTTATCAACTTGTTCCTGCAACCGTCCTTTTATTCGTTTTGTAAACAGCTACTTAGATGGGTCTGTTTTTTTTTCAAGTTTCTAACTCGTTCCACGTTTTTTCCTGCAGACGAGCGTCTTGCCGTTTATGGGAGCATCTTCTCTCTGCAGCTACTTTCTGCAGTCGATCATCTTGCCGTCATGGGACGACTCTTTATGGGAACAATCAATGAGTCAACATGGCTTCAAGCTCGTCGCGGCGCCTCCCCTGCCCCGTCGCACCGCCAATACAAGTCTTCACCAACGCAGTGGAGGTAAGCGCGTCGTTTTAACAATCGCGCGTCGTTTGCTTTTCACGTGCGCTTGAGAAAGGTTCTAACTCGTTTCACGTTTTTTTCCTGCAGACGAGCGTCTTGCCGTTTAAGGGAACATCTTCTCTCGCGGGAGGCGTTCGAAGAGCAAGTCAAACGCTTCTCTTGGCGAGCCGCCAAGATTCTTCCACGGAGAGCCCCCTTGGCCACTCGGAAGCGACGATGCAGTCGAGCTCGTCTGCGGCGCCTCCCCTGCCCCGCCGCGCCGCCAACAAGTCTTCACCGACTCAGTGGAGGTAAGCGCGTCGTTTTAACAATCGCGCGTCGTTTGCTTTTCTGCAACATCGTTTTACCAAGACACATTCTGCAATCGCTTTCTGGAAACAAGCTGACTAACCTGTTGCCGTCTCCTGCAGGTCTTTTAACGACGATTGATCACCGCCTTTGGCGAGACGCAAGTACTTCAGCGAGTCTTAGCGAGACGCACGGGAAGCACGGCGACGCACGGAGGGACGGATGGCGGCGCACGGGGAGGCGCCTTTACCGACGGATGGCGCTTTCGACCGTCGCGGATCATTCAGCGCCTTGCTCGGGCTGAGGTAACTCGTCGACCTTCAGCAAACTCCGAGTTTCCTTGTTGCTCCGTCGGTTCGTTCCGTTTCGTTTCCGTTATTGACGGCTGTTTCTTTCTTCCTGCAGCGACGGAGCGTGGCGAGGCGTGGCGACGCCTCCTAGTGTGTGTCTCACGGGAAGCATGATGTGGACGCATGTGTCGCAGCGCCGCGCTGGTGCTGAGGTAACTTGTGTAGCAATTATAGTCCGTGTTTTGGTTATTTTCTTGAAGGTTTCTTGACGTATTTTGTTTTCTTCCTGCAGAAACGGAGTAGCACGGAGACGCACTGCGTACGGCAGCTCACGGCGCACGGCGGAAAACCCTGGCGCACGGCAGAGGACGGCGCACGGCGGAGAAGCACGGCGACGCATGCACGGGGCATGGCGCAAGGGGCGGAAAGCGTATCTCGCGTGCGAACAGCGCGACGTGCGGGCGGACGGCGCATCCGACTCCCTGACATGGTAAGGTGGAGTTTCAGTTTCCATTCGTTTATATTCCCGAATTCTTACTTTCTTTTTCGTTGTTTTCTCTCTTAATGCAGGACCAGGCGAGCGGGAGCAGCGCTGGCGGCAACGGGACTTCAAGCTACGCCGACTCCCTCACATGGTAAGGTGCAGTTTCAGTTTCCATTCGTTTATATTCCCGGATTCTTACTTTCTTTTTCGTTGTTTTCTCTCTTAATGCAGGACCAGGGGAGCGGGAGCGGCGCTGGCGGCAACGGGACTTCAAGCTACGCCGACTCCCTCACATGGTAAGGTGCAGTTTCAATTTCGATTCGTTTATATTCCCGGATTCTTACTTTCTTTTTCGTTGTTTTCTCTCTTAATGCAGGACCAGGGGAGCGGGAGCTGCACTGGCGGCAACGGGACTTCAAGCTACGCCGACTCCCTCACATGGTAAGGTGCAGTTTCAGTTTCCATTCGTTTATATTCCCGGATTCTTACTTTCTTTTTCGTTGTTTTCTCTCTTAATGCAGGACCAGGGGAGCGGGAGCGGCGCTGGCGGCAACGGGACTTCAAGCTACGCCGACTCCCTCACATGGTAAGGTGCAGTTTCAATTTCGATTCGTTTATATTCCCGGATTCTTACTTTCTTTTTCGTTGTTTTCTCTCTTAATGCAGGACCAGGGGAGCGGGAGCGGCACTGGCGGCAACGGGACTTCAAGCTACGCCGACTCCCTCACATGGTAAGGTGCAGTTTAAGTTTCCATTCGTTTATATTCCCGGATTCTTACTTTCTTTTTCGTTGTTTTCTCTCTTAGTGCAGGACCAGGGGAGCGGAAGCGGCGCTGGCGGAAACGGGACCTCGACCTTACTGACATGGTAAGCTGCAGTTCCAATTCCGATTCGTTTATATTCCCGGATTCTTACTTTCTTTTTCGTTGTTTTCTCTCTTAATGCAGGACCAGGGGAGCGGGAGCGGCGCTGGCGGCAACGGGACTTCAAGCTACGCCGACTCCCTCACATGGTAAGGTGCAGTTTCAGTTTCCATTCGTTTATATTCCCGGATTCTTACTTTCTTTTTCGTTGTTTTCTCTCTTAGTGCAGGACCAAGGGAGCGGGAGCGGCGCTGGCGGAAACGGGACCTCAAGCTACGCCGACCTTCCTGACATGGTAAGGTGCAGTTTCAGTTTCCATTCGTTTATATTCCCGAATTCTTACTTTCTTTTGCGTTGTTTTCTCTCTTAATGCAGGACCAGGGGAGCGGGAGCGGCGCTGGCGGCAACGGGACTTCAAGCTACGCCGACTCCCTCACATGGTAAGGTGCAGTTTCAATTTCGATTCGTTTATATTCCCGGATTCTTACTTTCTTTTTCGTTGTTTTCTCTCTTAATGCAGGACCAGGGGAGCGGGAGCTGCACTGGCGGCAACGGGACTTCAAGCTACGCCGACTCCCTCACATGGTAAGGTGCAGTTTCAGTTTCCATTCGTTTATATTCCCGGATTCTTACTTTCTTTTTCGTTGTTTTCTCTCTTAATGCAGGACCAGGGGAGCGGGAGCGGCGCTGGCGGCAACGGGACTTCAAGCTACGCCGACTCCCTCACATGGTAAGGTGCAGTTTCAATTCCGATTCGTTTATATTCCCGGATTCTTACTTTCTTTTTCGTTGTTTTCTCTCTTAATGCAGGACCAGGGGAGCGGGAGCGGCGCTAGCGGCAACGGGACTTCAAGCTACGCCGACTCCCTCACATGGTAAGGTGCAGTTTCAGTTTCCATTCGTTTATTTTCCCGGATTCTTACTTTTTCTTTGTTGTTTTCTCTCTTAGCGCAGGACCAGGGGAGCGGGAGCGGCGCTGGCGGCAACGGGACTTCAAGCAACGGGACTTCGCATGGTAAGGTGCACTTTCAATTACCATTCGTTTTTTTTCCCCAGATTCTAACTTCATTCGTTGTGGGCTTTTCTCTTTGCGCAGGACGACCGGGAGCGGGAGCGGGTGCAAACGGCGCTGGCGGCGGCGACAAGGAAGGTCAACGTGAACTCCCTCACGCGCGGGCGACGACGCATCGGGCTGTGGCGCGGGGAGAAGCCGGAGCGAGGAGGCGGAGCGAGGAGCAAGGAGTTTGACTCCCCCTCCCGTTCCGCCCTTTACTGCAGCTTTGGCGGGAGCGAGAGCAATCAGCTGCGCAAACGTCAGGCATGTAAGATGTGTTTGGGTTTGGTTGTTCAGGAGCGATAAGCCCTCGATTAGGCACATGCACATGGGCGATGGGTTGGGTCATCATGGCAACTCCTCCTGACAACCAACGGGAATCGTCCGATCCGAGGTGTGTAACAGGACGTTTAGGAGCGATAGGCGTTCGATTAGGCACAATCACGTGGGCGATGGGATGGGTGGTGGTCAGGTGTGTTCAGGTATGCCTCCCCTTCTTGACGGCTGGCCGTCATCCTGACAACAGTGGGAGAATCGTCCGATCCCATGTGTTTAATTTATTCATCTGCCCGTGTTTCTAGTTTTGACCGTTTGTGCCCACCCCAAGCAGGCCCCACGCGAATGACCCTCACCTCATCGTGGGCTTTTGCCTCTGACGGCCAAGAGGGGTCAAGAAGACTTGCAAGCTGCTGCTGTGGACGTGCAAGAAGACTTTCAACGTCAAGAAGAGTCAAGCTGCTGTGGAGGCGCAAGTGGATCTGCTCTACTCACACCTCGGCATAGGAAGCTTAGAAGGCTTATTAGGGCTTGTAACTTTTTCTCTTTTTGAAGTACGGACTGATGGCCCGTACGGACTTTGAAGGGGTTACTAGATTCGCCCACCTTCGTCAACAATTTCGCCACATCCGTACCAAAACTGTCACTTTCACACCCCCCAGCGTCCGTTCAACCATTCTGACACTGTCCGGACAGCCGTCCGTACTTACTGTTCTGGCATCCCATTGGCGCACGAAGTCAGAATCGCAGCTTTCTGTGCGACTCGATTTCCCACGCCCGATTGCCAACCGAATTTGACGTGGCACCTTGTCGGGGCGCGGATTCGAGTTGGGCGACTTTGACGAGAGGGTTGCGACCGTGGTAATGTGTGTTACTTGTCGCATGTATTTTAAATTTCGAGAACAGAAAAAGTTCCACAAATGTGGTACGGACGGCTCCACGTCCGTACCACATTCCCAAACTTACGGACGGGGCCCCGTCCGTACGTTTGGGGGGCTCCGACCGTACTTTTGACGTAAACTGAAAAAGTTACACGCCCTTAGCAAGTAGTTTCTGCTCTGACTTGTATCTGGTTATGTAATAGAATAGTGTTTGTACTTTTCAAAGATGGTACTAGTTCTGACTTGGGTGTCTAGTGATTAATACTTTGGTGTTCTACAACTTTGATAAACAAGACGAATTCACGTAGTGCAGTTTGTACCAGCAAATAAGTGGCTTGACGTGCAGTTTTGACGACCCGATACTCGTAGTAGTCTACGCCTAGTGCTACCGAATGCGCTACCAAGTGCGCTGCCTAATGCGTTACTTAATGCGCTGCCTATTGCGCTACCTAGTAATGCGCTACTGCTTCTATCTCTGACGGTCGTCGCGGGCGACGCGGACGGTTTCGCCGAGTTCGCACATGGGCTTCGCTAGCGTCGCCGTCGTCGTCGCAGCGGGGCGGCCGTCGCAAAGCAGCGCGTTCGAGTGCGACGAGTCGCAGACCGCCAGGTACTCCGCGCCGTTCGATCCCCGCACTCTCCCTCCCCCTCTCTCCTTTCCGCCCTTCCCCGCAACGATCGTCATGGGAATCCCGTGTGGCAACCAATGCCGATTGCTCCTCGCGTGCGCGTTCTTTGCCACATCGGTGCTGATGGGCCGGAGGAGGCAGGAGGAGGTGCCTCTGTGCTGATGGGGTGGTTCGTGCCGTGGGTGCGCGAGGAGTATCTCTGGCGGACAGTGCTGCCCGCTTGGGAGGGGCGAGGGGGAGCGAGCTCGGAGGAAGGGGAGGGGGACGCGGGGAAACGGGGAGAAGGATACACGCGGCTTTCGTGACAGTTCTGAGGTGGCAGCAGAAGCAGAAGCAGCATCTGCAGCCCCAAGGTCCCAGCACCCAGCGCAGCAGGGCACATGCAGCACAGAAAGCGGGGCAGAGGCGGCAGGAGGAGGCTTTTCACATCCCCCTCCGCTCTTTCCACATCTCCCCTTCCTCTCACCCCTCATCTTCCCTCCGCTCTCCCCTCATCTTCCCACCGCACCCCTCACTGCCCTTCATCTCACCCCTTATTTCTTTCCTCCCCCCCAACTCCCCATTCACTTAACCCCATCTCCCCCTTCCCCCCTTTCCCCCATCCCCTCCCCCTCTCCATCCATTCAGTCGTCGTATCTCTCTCTCTCCTCCCTCTCCCCGTTTACCTCCTCTCTCACCTCCCCTCTCTGTCCCTTCTAACACTCACCCCTCCTTCCCCCCAGCACTCACGCCTCACCCAGTCAACTTCCTCTTTCCTCGCTCTGCCCTCCCCTCCCCAGCTCTCCCCTCATTGCCCCCTTCCGTTCTCCTCCCCTGCTCCCCCCGTTCAATCAATCCGCCATTCACTTACAGATTAACCTGAATTCGGTGCGCGCTGGCGCTGCTGTCCGTTCCAAGAGTCTCCCGCCTGAGATGGTGGGTCAGTGGTGACAGGAAACCGTTTCAGGAGCTGAGTCACACCGATTCACACTCATCATTGTGTATACTACATCCTATTCCCGTGCTTTTACCCAATTGCTCCTTCAGGTATTAGCGTCGGGAGCAGTAGAAGCAGCCGCCTTATGTACACATAGTCCTAATGTATATCAATTTCAGGTGATTTGAAGCCCAGAGCCCTATGCTCATTGTTTCAGAATATGGGTCCATTCATTACCTACACCTCAGGAGATTCGAGAACCCCGATGGCTTCACTGCTGAGAAAAAAAACTGACTTGTGGAAAGAAACTTTTGATTACTAGTACCATTCAGGAATTGGATTACCTACAGTGCAGTGCAATGCATGGGAGCACTGGCATCTCTAATCAAGAAGCAAGATTTGTAAAGGCAGAGCTCACATGGTCGTACATGCTGCTTCCTTTATGCTCCGAGATAATGTGTGTTGCAGTACCAGTATGAGTATCTTACAGACCACTATATGTGCTGATCATGCATGGAAAACAACATATGCTCATAGTACATGTCGCCATACCGTACCATTCTTTTGTTCATTCGGAAGGTGAAGTCTGCTCTTTTGTGGGGTCAGAGTACCATATATGCAGCCACAGTACGACATGGTAGGATGTACCGTAGTAAGCAACCCCAGTGATACCAACCTGCAGACAGACCGGACCAGCGTGGTCAAGTGCTGAAGCTATCCTGCAAGCACGGCATGTTCCTGGCCCTTGCAAAACTGCAATGCTACCGTGGTTGCCTGCCATGCCATACTTTGCCATCTCCCCTGCCTGCTCCCAAAACATTTCTATCTACCTGCTTTCCTAGCTGCATCACATGCAGCTCGCAACCGAATACGCATTGTGTTGAGCCAGCAGCACCGTATCCACTTGCACTACCTCTTAGCGCCTCTGATCCGTGCTGACATCGCCCCACCACCGCCACCCACATGACCTCTCGACTCGGCTCTCGCCATGCCCCTATCGCCCACCGCAATCGTCTTGGTGCGTCGGAACGACTCAGACCGCGATGACGATCCCGAGGCCAGGCTTCTCTTGAACCCTCCCCCCGAGCTACTCTCCTTCATGCTCCCCAGCCGCCCCATGCTGTTACCCCCCTTCACGCGCACCGACGCGCGGGCGACATCCCCTCGCAGCGAGTCGATACTCGCCTCTAACAACCGCATGCGCGCATCCATGCGGTCTATGGCGGTGCGCATCGAGTCCAGCGACGCGTGGTTGTCGTTCTGCTTCGCGCGCACCTGCTGCAAGCGGTCCGTGTGCATGGCGCGACCAATAGGGATCCAGTCGTAGTTGGAAGCGTCGAGGTGCGCGCGCACAAAGGACTCGAGACCTGTGTACTCGGTGGGGTTGCGCTTGAGGAGATAATCAATGTAGAAGAGGTAGTGCAGTGGGTTGTGCTCGTGTGCTATGTGCTCCACAAACCCCCCCAGCCGCTGCTCGAATGCAAACCGGTCGATGCTGCACACGAAGCACTTGTCGTCTGCATGGCAGGGAGGGAGCGGAGGCGATGGGGGATGGATGATAGGAGGGTTTGAGGAGGGGGGATGGGAAAAGCTTGGTGGGGGGTTGGGAGGAGGGTGTCGGAGAGAGGGGGAGTGAGGACGTGCAACAGCAGAGAAGGAGAGGGTGAGGATATGCATGTCACAGTAGACATTATACATAGAAGGAAAGGGGGAAAACCATGGTTGGGAACGGGGGGAGGGGCACTCACCGAGGTCCTTTTCCTTGGCTGCCTTCTCATCACGAATGGAGGTGAAGGCATCGACAATCTGGTTCTCACACGTGAGAGAGATGCACACACATGGCAACAACATAAACGCCATGAGGGAAGGCCACGGAGCAAACAACCAATGCCTTATGCACATGCAATGTGAAGCAGAGTTGCGTTCACAAGGCAGCCAAAAACAGAACACCAGATGTTCACAAGGCACAGCAGAGCGAATTGCAGCATGGTGGGGCACCAAAAATGCGCGCTCCACGCACCTGTCCAGTGAAGATGTTCTGCAGCAGGAAGACCCAGACGATGAGGAAGGACACAATGAACACGGTACGCAGCTGCCGCCACACATCTGTCACCACCGAGGTTGGCACCGTGTCCCACTCCTGCCACAGCCCGCCTATGCTGCTGCTCGCAATGGCATTCACCAGGTGCAGCCCGATGCACTCGTAGAGCGTGGTGCAGGCGAAGTCGTCGTGACCAGCAAAGGCGAGGAAGGAGACGATGGAGTACATGAAGATGACTAGGATGCCCACGAGGCCGGTGCGGATGAGTAACGGGCCGCCCACGTACGCGGACTTGAGCACGATTGCGCCGGAGGGGTGGTAGATGATGAAGTCGAGCAGGTGGAATACGAAGAAGAAGGGCGACAGTGATAGCCCCAGCACGCTGCCGCAGGTGGGAAGGTGAAGGGGGGCGGGGAGGGAGCAAGGAAGGAACAGGGAGCAGGGGGATGGGGGCAGTGAAGGTGGGGATGAAGGGGGGCGAGTGGCCAGCAGAGTGGGCGCAGGTGGGCGTGCTGTGACGCTGTGGTAGGTGGTGGCGGGGATTGGCATGGTGGCTAACAGCAGCAGCCCAAGCAGTGGAACAGAGCAGTATGTGTATGTGCGAGTCAGTGAGCTGTGTGAGTATGTGAGAATGGGAGTGTGAGTGTGTGGAAGGGAGTGGGTGGAAGGGAGTGGGTGGAAGGGAGTGGGTGGAAGGGAGTGCGGAAAGGCGAGCGGGGCGGATGCGTACCTGGCGACGACCATGAGCACGGAGTACCAAAAGTCGAGGTTGCGGAAGAGCAGCGACTTGGGCACGCCGCGCAGGTCCATGCTCTCGTTCAGCCGCTGGTCTAGCCCTGCCTCCCCCGCATCCACTGCTGCCCCATCGCCCCGCGTCATGCGCTCTGCTCCCATCCCATGCACACACACAAACCGACACACACACCAATGCATGCACAACCACACATGGGCACATGCAGGGATGGGCACAACCACAGATGGCCATATGTCCAAAGACCACATGCAAAGAAAGTGGGTGGGGGAAAACGTTGAAAGTGATAAACAAATCAAGACCAGCCCCACACCCTTCCCCACTCCACCCCCCCTCCCCCACTCTAACAAACCACCCTATTCACCCACCCGCTGCCCACCCGCACCTGAGATATCTGCCTCTCGCTCATCCCCAGCAACATCCTTCAACACGAGCAGCGGCGACTCGAGCCAGATGAATCCCACGAGCGCGAGGCTCGTCACCAGCAGCTGCAGCAGCCCCAGCACGCGTATAAACGCGAGCGCAAACGCATAGTGCGACCACGGTTGCATGGTCTGCCCGTAGCTGAACACTATGAGCGTCACGATGAGGATGGACGTGTAGAAGGGCAGGCGCTTGATCTGAGGTAGCATGTCCTGCAGCCAGCCTGCCCACGGGTGGCGGTGCCGCATGCGCTCGTAGTGCTGTAGCTTCAGCACCAGCACTCGTGCTGCACGCATGAAGTGCTGTACTTTCTGCTTGTCGGGCGGGGAGGAGGCGGGGAGCAGGAGGGGCAGAGGGGAGAGAGGATGCAGAAGCGGGGAGGGAGCAGTGAAGGAGGGGAAAGAGAGACAGAAGGCAAGGGAGAATATTATTGAATTGCGAAGCTAAGAAGGGGTAGAAGATGAGAGGATCACAGAATTTAGAGATGGTGCGGTGCGTGTGAGTGAGTGCCTTCGAGAGGATACACGTGGGCAAGGCGGGTGCATGTAGTTGACTGCACTGCATGTGGGCGTGCACGGACCTGGATGGGGTTTTCCCGGGGCACATCATACAGCTCCTCCAGTGCAGCCATGGTCCACACGGGGTCGCGAGACAGGCGGCGGCACTCGGCAGTAAGCGGGAAGTAGACCTTCTCCAGCTGCCCCTCGCGCACCACCTCAATGGCGCACGACGAGTGCGAGAAGAAGTTCTGAAGCTCTGAGTCGCTCACAGCCAGCGTGTGCCCGAAGCACAGCGTGCCGCAGCGCTGCGGCTTGTCGCACTTGAGAATCGAGTACGTGCACGTGGCAAACATTGCTCGCCGCCCGCCCGCGCCCGACCAATCGCGCGCTGCCAGCGCAGCACTGCTGCTGCTGCTGCTGGCGTTGCTGGCTTCGCTGCTGGCGAACATCCAACGGTCGAAATCGTCGAGTTTGATCATGATCATGAGAGAGTTGAGCACTTCAGATGGTAACAGGTGGTTCAGTGCGTCTGAATTGAACGTCATCCATAGCGGCAGCTTCGACCCTTCCTGCCGTGATGCTCCCTCCTGCTCGCCCCCACTGCCTGTTGCCCTCTCCCCGCCCTCGCCCATCCCACCTGCGCTGCCACCCGCACCAGCGCCACCACTCCCGCCGCCGCTGCTGCCACCACCACCACCGCCGCTGCCGCTGTTGCTTCCCCCTGGCGCTGCTGCACCACCAGTGCCCCCCCATTTGCTGCCACTGGCAGTGGAATTTCCACCAGCACCACCGGCACCACTACCACCAGCAGCAGCCGCAGCAACAGCAGCAAGGCCCGTGGCTTCGAGCATCTCAGAGAGGGAAAGAGTGGAGCGGCCGCGGAATCTGCGGGCCGCTGTTGACGAGAAGGCGTCAAACTCGTTGAGGATGGTGCCGCGCACGTGGCGGCAGCGCTGCAGCAGCGCGGAGAAGTCAATGACAGCGGCCATCTTGCTGGGAATCTCGTGGTTGCTGCCTATCTCCTCTAGTAGCGACAGGTACACTGACAGGATGCCGTTTCGCACCCATGTGCGCAGGTCGTTTGGACCAAGCTGGGGGGATTGCAGGCGTGGGTTGGGATGAAGGGGTACAGGAGGGGGGGAGTAATGGGAACGAGGGTGGTTTTTAGATGGGTTAACCGTGTGAGGGAACAACGCAGGTGCATCTGATTCTGTTTGACTTATGCGACGAGGAGCAGAAGCAAGCGTGGGGATACGAACAGCAATCCAACGCCATCCTGCAAAAGAACCCTTAGCGGATGAAACACCCAGATTCACCCATGTCGACCTATCGCCCCCCATCACCATCACCCCCCATCACCATCACCCCCCATCACCATCGCCCCCCATCACCATCACCCCCCATCACCATCACCCCCCATCACCATCACCCCCCATCACCATCACCCCCCATCACCATCACCCCCCATCACCATCACCCCCCATCACCATCGCCCCCCATCAGCCCATCACGCCCTGTCAGCCCATCACCCCCTGTCAGCCCATCACCCCCTGTCAGCCCATCACCCCCTGTCAGCCCATCACCCCCTGTCAGCCCATCACCCCCTGTCAGCCCATCACCCCCTGTCAGCCCATCACCCCCTGTCAGCCCATCACCCTTTACCCATCTCACCATGGGGCAGTCAAGGCTGCCAGCGGGTCTATCCCCGAGAGCCGTGTAGCTCAGCACCTTGGCGATCACCTCCGGGCTGAACCGCACGGGCTGCTCGCCGCCATCCCCGTGCTCGTCGGGGGCGGGCACGCGCTCGTCACGGTACGTGAGGCTCGCCATCATGCGCTGCGTGATGGACAGGAAGTTGGACCGCACTAGTGCCAGCTGGTTCTCAAAGCACGGACCCTGGATTGCCTCTAGAAGTGTGTTTAGGGCCTGCCGGGGAAGAGGGGTTGGTGTGGGGCACAGGGTGGGGGAGAGGAGGGAGAGTGTGTGGAAGCAAGAGGAAGCAAGCAGGAGACTAGTTTCTCAGGTTGGCTCATTTACGTGGCAATGGTTAGTAGTAAGAAAGTGACAGCACGCACACTAGAGACTTGTTGAAGAGGTGCTAGAGGCTTACCTGGAGGGCGATCTGAGCGAGCAGAGGGTTGTGCTGGGACAGGTTCTTGTCCAATGACGGCTGCAGATGCTCCAGAAACACGATAATCTCCTGCAGCAAGTTCACACTGCGCCCGTTGCTCCCCGCACCGCTGCCCCCCGCGCCTCTCCCCCCGCCCCACGGGCCCGAGTCATACGCCATGCCCCCGCCGCCGCCGCCACTGCCAGCAACAGCACCCGCGGCCGCAGTGTCGTCTTGGACTCTCAGCAGCCGCTGCATGCGTGCGTTGTGCCCCTCGCATAGAAGCTGCAGCATGCGCAGCACATTGGTGACATGCCCTGACAGCACCACCCACGCCTTCTTGTGCAGCGTCGTGTCCTTGTGACTCGCTGACTCCTCCACGTTCCACAGCTGAAATCCGTCCTCCTCCTCCTGCCGCAACCGCCCCTCGCTCTCCTCTTCGTCCTCATCCTCCTCGCGCGATGCACTCCCCTCCACGCGCCGCCCCGCCTTGCTATGCGCGTCCATGGACGCGCGCGTGCGGGGCATGGGGAAGTGCGCGGCGGCAGACGAGGAGGCGCGCGGCAGCTCACGAGTCACCACAGAGGACACAGCGCGGCGGAACATGCGCAGGGGATTCCCCCCCTTGCTCTCACCTGCACCGGCAGAACCAGACTCCCCAGTGGACCCTCCACCAAATCCTGCCTCCCCGCTGTCGCCCCTGTTGCTGTTGGATTTGGAAGTGGCGGCCTTTGGAAGCCCCGGTCGAGCCTTGCTGCTGCCCCTGCTGGTGGGGGTGGCCCTGGCTGCAGCAGAGGCTGTGAGCGCGTCGTCTGAAGCAATACTGGGGCTGTCAGCTAGAGTCACCCGGGGAATGCGCAACGACCTGGACTTGGCGAAGGCCCGTAACGATCCTACCCGCTCCAGCTTCTCCTCTTGCACCTCCTCTTGCTTCCCTCCACTGCTAGCTTCTGCTCCACTCGCTCCACCCTCCTTCTCCTTGTGCTGCTCGACCGCCTTGGACCCATCCCCACCTGCTGCTGCCTGACTGGCCGCAGCCCGTCTCATCATGGCAGCGGCATGCAGCAGCCGTGAGCGCATGGAGGGAGTTAGCACAGACCCTCCACCCTCTCCTCCCGCCGCTGCGGATGCTGCTGCTGGTGCTGCGGCGGGAGGAGTCGACGAAGCAGATGCAGGCGAGTCAACCGCCGGCACTCGTCCCCCTCTCGCACTGATAGCCGAAGACGCTCGAGGCATGGTCGTCGGAACACTCCTCCCGCGGAAAAACCCGCTCACGCTGCCACGAGCGCTCTCACTCCCAGCCCCCTCCCGCTCCTCCCCGAACCCCTCCCCTGCCATCTCCTGCATCTGCCGCTTCCCAGCAGCCTCCTTTCTGGCCCTAGCCTCCTGTTTATCCAACCCCTTGCGCACAAACTTGATCGTGGCGGACGCAGCAGCAAGCACCTTCTGGACTGTAAAGAACAGCTGCCCATCCTCCACAAGAACAGCATACATGAGATCCTGCACCTTGCTGTTTCCCTCGTCTGTCAGCGCGATCGCGAGCTTAACTGCCTCGGCCTGCACCCACTGGTTGCCGTGGCTCACGAGGCGCACGGCGCACTCTGCCAGGCCGAGATCCGCGTACTTGCACTGCACACGGTCGAGCGCGTCGAGAGACGACTTGGAGTAGCGCACAGGGAGAGACGCCTCAAACATCTCCCACTTGCTCATCGCTCGCGCCTTCTCCTCTGGACGCAGCACCAGCAGCCCCACAGACACCTGCTCCTCCCGCTTCTCCCCCGCACCTGCCCCACCAGAAGCGCCCGCGCCCGTGCCTGTGGCAGCAGGTACGGCGCCCACAGCAGCACCGAGAGAGTGCGTGATGTTGGCTACCAAGGGCTTGCGGTCGTCACTCACTAGCCATGTAGTAGAAGCAGAAGAGGCGGAGGCGGAGATAGAGGTAGGATTCGACGAGGACGCGGACGCTGCACCTCCCCCGGGGAGGTCAGACCTGGTGTCGGTGTCTTCTGTTAGGTAGATCATCGCGCGGCATACCCGCAGGAAGCGCACGATGAGATCCGGCGTCATTTCATCGGGGATTTTCGGGGCCGAGAGGAGAAGTGTGAGCTGCCGCACAACATCCGAGTAGTGGAACGGCGGTACGGAGTTCATCACCAGGCGCTGCTGCGAGAGCAGGAGCGCGAGGTCTCTAGCGCCCGACCCTTCCATGGTGTGCAGGTCTGTGATCTCCAGCGTGTGCGAGAACAGCCGCGAGAAGTTCACCCAGTTGCTCTTGAACACCGCGCCTTTGCGCGCCAGGTCCGACGACTTGAGGCGCGACATCTGGCGGTCCATGGCGAAGGGCAGCAGTAGCGGGTCGTACATGGTGCCCTTGAGTGCGCCCGCCGCTTTCATCTCCTCCACGCACCGCACGCACGCCTCCTGCTGCGACGCCGGCAGCTGCGAGCACAGCTCCCAGATACCCGCCACCAGCTCATCCAACACCTTCCGGTGGGAGTCCGGGAGAGCAGCGCGGGACGTGAAGTGCCGCTTGAAGTAGGCGGAAAGCATGGGCAGCGCGGCTGTAGTTACGTAGTGCAGCGCTGACCCCTCTGGTGCAGCGTGGTCGAAGCTCTCCTCTGCTGCCAGGCGCAGCTCAGTCACTGTGTCCTCCATGAGCGACACAGGCTGCCCCCCCCGGATCCCCACCGACCCGCTGATCCCCCGCCACCCCGCGGCCTTCTCCGCACTCGATGGACCCGCACCCAGGTCCGTGCTACCACCACCTGAGGCAAGCCGAGGCGATCTCACACCCATTGCTGAACCGCGCCCATCCCCTTCTGAGTCACGTGCGTCAGGCCACATGCCGTTGCCCTCGTCTCTAATCTCCGCCGTTGCTCGGTCGCTGTGCCCTGTCACATACGCCTGGTGCAGCAGCCGCACATACGCCGCCTTCACCACATGCACCGCCTCCAGAGGAATCGCGCGGCACTCCCACTCGCTCGCCTCGCCACGCCACGTGCGCATGGAGTTAGTCTTTCGCCACAGGGCCCGCGCCTGCTCTGACCTTGCCACCCCCTCCTCATCCTCTTCCTCACACAGCCCCTCGTCGTCTTCCTCCTCGTCCTCCCCCCACACGTATCGCCCCGCCTCGTCAAACATCCCCTGTCCGCGCCGGCTGACCTTGAAGCTCTGGCTTCCCTTGGCCTGCAGCGACGCCTTGGCGCTCTCCTGCTGGCTGAGAGACGCGGGAAAACTGCGCGACATGCGCGGATCCAGGCGCCTCTGAGTCGTCCCCGACGCCTGCAAGCGGCCGCTGCCGTTCACACTGTCTCCCGCGCGCTTCACAGGGCGAATAGAGCCAGTTTCAGACGTGACAGTGGACCACGAGTCCACCTCCTGTGTATCCCCATCCGAGCTGATCTCCAAGTTCCACACCTCAGACGATTCCTCTCCTCCCTCCCCGTCCCCGGCCCTGCTCTCCTCCCCCTCTCCCTCCTCCTCCACAACTTCTTCCATAAGCTCCTCCTCATCCCACGCCACGTCATCCATGTCTTCCGAATCCGCGTCCGCGCTCACAGCAGTCTCACTCGCGAGCCACAGCAGCGTGGCCATGATATCCCCTAACCCCACCAGCCCGCTCACCTTCACAGCGTTCGCAGGATTGTTCCCCCAGCAGCACGCGGCGATGAGGGAGACGTACGCGGTGTGGTAACGCAGCTGGCTGTCAACCCCTGCTGTGACGTGCTCGTTGCGCCGCATGAGGGCCTCGCGCCAGCGCCAGTGCGTGGGCGTGTGCGGCAGGCCGGAGATCTGGTCGTCGTAGTCGATTATCATGTCCAGCACCATCATCTGGTTGCGCGCTATTGGCTTCCCGTTCACCAGCACCACCGTCTGTGCAGGCGGGAGTGACATGAAGGCGAGGGTGCGGTGTAAAATGCTGGATTGAGTAACAAGCTTGAAGAAGGGCAGGCCATAGGTTGCAAGACCAGGATGATCTGACTTGCAGAGACTGAAGAAGTGCAAGGCCCCTACTTCTTCTTCTTCTTCTCTTCCCCCCCCCCCCCTCCCCCTCCTCTCAACTGACCTCGAGGAACTGCAGCCAGGTGGCGCGCTTGCCGTAGCGCAGGATGAGCTTGATGCAGGCCCACAGGTGGTCGTGCGAGACGGTGGAGCAGAGCTCGTAGTTGTCCTTGAGCATGGCGCACAGGAACGCCATCACGTTCAGCGACGCCAGCCCCCGGTGCGGCAGGAACACGCCCATGTGCGCGTGCAGCTCCAGCTGTAGCTCCTCGTTCACCACTCCTGCGCAGAACTGCGCATGGGGGGTGTGGTGGTGTGGAAGTGAAGGGAAAGATGAGTATTCTTCTTTTGACTCGCCTCAAAAGCTGTGGAGCTCCGGCTGTTAATCCTTGTTCACCACGCCTGCACAGAACTGCACACGGAAAGGGAAAGGAGAGGGGTTGTCAAATTTTCAGGCACTGCAAAAGTCATGCAGCGCCAGGCCAGCTCCCCTGCTTGTTCACACCACTCCTGCTCAAAATTGTGCATGGAAAGGGGGAACAGGGGTTTGGGATGGGACGGGGGAGAGGGGGAAGGGGGAACGGATGTGTTGGGGCAGGTTGAGAGAGGGGTTGCAAGATGGGACGCACAGTTGTGGGGTGCGGTGTGGGTACTGAGTGTATGATTGTATGATACGAAAGGGGAAGGGGTGGTGTGGCAATTGGATGAGCGTATGGGAGTGATGGTGGGAGGAAGGGGGGGTGGGTGGGTGGCAGGCGGGAGAGCGGGCAGGCAGACAGGCAGGCAGGCAGGCAGGCAGGCAGGCAGGCAGGCAGGCAGGCAGGCAGGCAGACAGGCCGGCAGGCAGGCAGGCAGGCAGACAGGCCGGCAGGCAGACAGGCAGAGCAAGCACAGACCATGGCGAGGAACTGGTAGGCGGCTGAGAAGAGGTCCTGCAGGCCCCTGTCGCTCATGCAGTCCATGACTCCCGGCTCATGCGATGCCACCCTGCGGAAGGGCGTGCGCAGTAGATCCACTGCATGCATGCATGGCCGCACAGTGGGAGGAGGAGGAGGGGGGGGCAAGAGGGTGAGAGAGGAGCCAAGGGGAGCAGGAACTCAGGGGTGAAAAACGTGCAGAAAAAGAAGGGATATGTGTCCCGAAAAGGAGATCGACGCACGGATGCGTTTGTGATTGAGCCACAGAGGCAAAGAAGAATGCGCACGAAGAACCTGCTGGGCGCCAGAAGAAAGCGTTTCAGGGTGGGGGTTATCGGAGCAGAGGTGAGCGCCGACGGTCTGCAGGATGGTCTGGTGTTTGAGCACCTGCGCCTCGTTCTGCAGACCGTTGGCGCTCAAGCAGAGGTGAGCTTCTGGAACTCACCGGAGCAGAGGTGAGCGCCGACGGTCTGCAGGATGGTCTGGTGCTTGAGCACTTGCGCCTCGTTCTGTCCCGGCCCCACCGTGCACATGGCCTTGAACCGCCCCAGCAGCCGCACGCACCGCCGCCGCACCTCCACTCGCAGTCGCGAGTCGTCGCTACCCAGCCAGCCCTGCAGGCTGCGCAGCACACTCACATCGCGAGCCACCTGCACGTGGTGCGTGCGTGCGATGGGAACACCGAACAAGGGAATGGCTGCCGAGGGGGCTCGGATCCTTACCAGCAAGTATTTCTGTTCGCTGCAAGGGCATTTCTGTGAGAAGATACAAGCTCACACCCCCTCCCCAACCTCCCTTCCACACGCACTGAAGCATAGGCAAAAAAGCATGCCTACTCGCGCCCGTGCAAGGTCTCACAGGCATGCAGTGTGCACCTGCTTGCACACGAGCATCATGTCAGCATCCACAATGACGTGGCACTCCAGCATCTTGTTCAAGACGTCTCAGAATGAAGCCGAGAAAGAAAGAACCTGCTTTTCAAGGCAAAGTGCGCACCTGCTTGTACACGAGCATCATGTCAGCGTCCACGATGATGTGGCACTCCAGCATCTTGCGCAGCAGCGACGCCTTCTCCGTCATGTACCGGTCAATGAGCGAAAACGCATATGCCTTGAGCGGCGCATACTGGTACCGCGTCAAATCCAACAGCACCTCTAGCATATACGGCAACCCGCCCTCCGACACACGCTCCACTAGCGCACTCAGCGCAGGCCTCTTAAACAGCTGCCCGCTCAGGCCCTCAAACACGGATGCGTCAGGTGGGAACATGCGAAAGGTGGCGCGACCGTGCGCCTTGAGGTTGTTAGCTTCTAGTTTGAGCCTCATGCCGCGCCACATGGACTTGCGGCTGGAGTCTTTTGATGCCGCCATGGCTGCTAGAGCCACGGCTGCTAGACCTCCTGTGCTGCCTGATGCTGGTAACCCGCCCACGCCCACTCCCGCCCCGCCTGAACCCACGCCCGCTGCTCTCTCCCCGTGAGGACTCGTGGCGCCGTCGACCGCGGCTAACGCGCGGGCAAGAGCGGAGTTTGATCCGTTTAAGTCCTGAGCCGCAGGGGTGGTGGCGGATGAGGAGGAGGCATCGAGCGTTGCCGCAGGGGAGGGAGGCGCGCCAATGGCTGGAGAGGGCACGTCGGTGGGGTCCTGTGCGGTGCGGGAGAGGCTGGCGGGCATGTCCCAGGGCACGGTGGTGGCGCGGTCGCCCAGGCGCGAGTAGGCGTCGAAGGCCGTGGTGATGCACCAGTTGCTGCGCATGTCAAATATGTACATGAGCATGGAACATATCACCGTCTTGGCCTGACAGGGATTGGGGGGGTTGGGGGGTAGATGGAGGGAGAAAGCGGGTGTGATGCTACGTGCATGTCGAATATGCACATGCGCAGGGCACATCTATGGCCCCAAATGCTTGCCATGCATACATGCTCTTTTCCCGCTTCCCCCGCAGCCCACCCAGGACCTCCGGCGTTCCACCCCCCCCACGCACCTCCATGACAGTATTCATGTTGGACTCAGGATCGCTCTTGAACCGCAGCGCATCCCCGTCCCCGCCCCACTTCTCCGACCGCCCATCCAGCAGCGGAATCACCGCGTCCACAATCGGCGCTATCCCCTCCTCGCCCTGCCCCGAAAAGCTCCCAAACAGCCCAAACCGCAGCATCAGACTAGCCGTCTGCAGCACGGCAAAGGTGAGAGAGCTCTGGCCAGGGCGAGAGTTGGTCTGAGCGAGCGTGGTGGAGGGGAGGAAGTCGAGAATGTTGTGCTTGAGTGCTGTGAAGCCCGGTTCGGGTGCCTTGTGCGGGAAGGCCAGGAACGGGTCTGCCATGGCTCGCGACACGTCGTCCTCCTCTGATGAATCCTCCTCGGGGAATGGCTGACGGTTGTCGATGGTCGGCCTGGTGGGTGGGGGTTTGAAGGGGTGAGGTAGGGAGGGGAGGGGCGGGCATGGGAGGGAGGGAGAAGAGATGGGGGGAGGGAATGTGATGAGGGGAGGCGACGGACGAGTTGGGAAAACAGAAAGTTATGGGAGGGATGGGGAGGAGTGAAGCAGCGAATGGAGCAGGAACCATGGAGGAGGGCAATGAGAGGTAGGGGAGAGGAGAGATGATCCAATGTGAAGGTGCAAGAGGCAGATACCCGAGGTAGGTGATATACCTAATACCAGATGAGCGATATGTTGTGTTAGTACGTGGATTGTTACCCTGTGCGCGCAACGTTACCAGGTGAGCACGAGGCGCGTGTAGGAGCGCTCCTCAAACGGCTCCCTGTCGATGTAGAGGTGTGTGAGGAGGCGGCAGCAGTTGGTGCGCAGGAAGAAGGGCAGCGAGGGGTTGAAGACGACCATGCGCAGCGTGTGGTAGTCCAGCCCGTACAGGTCGCTGTCCTCTATCAGCCAGTCTATGGCCTTGCGGTTGCGCTGCATGCACAGCGTGCAGAACAGCTCCAGCGTCACCACGTAGAACAGAAACAGCACCTCTGAGGGGGGGAGGGTGGGGGAACGGAGATGGAGAGGGGACGGGAGTCAGGGAGCGAGTGAGAGTAGAGGATGGCAGGGGGAGGAAAAGTTTGAACTATTCATGAATGCAGGGCATGGGAGGGTGTGAGAGGGGAGCAGAGGTGTAAACAGGAATGCAAGGGTGTAGGAAGGAATGTGGGGGCTGTGAATCATGATCAAGAACGATGGCAATCACACGCCACACACGGACCTTGTGGCGAGCGGTGAATAGAGTCCGAGTGCGCGCCAAGCTTATCAAGACTCTCAAGCGCGCCACAGTCCACCACGAGCCCGTCCCGCTCCAGCAGCAGCGTCTCCTCGCCCACACCGTTCTTTGAGGGCGCGACGCGAGCGTTGACGAGCACGTCGCTGTTCTCCTTGAGAATGTCCACCACCACGTTCTGGTTCGTGCGCACCGGCGCTCCCCCACAGCTGCAGATGATGTTCAGGAAGCGTATGTCGCGCGGCCGCTGGAATGTGCGACAGTTGATGATGCGCTGCCGGATCTGGTGAGGAGAATGGGAGGGGGTGGATGGTGGAAAAGGATGGGGGTGGGGGGGGAGCGGAGGGAGAAGAGAGGGAGAGTGGTGCAGGAATGGGATTGTGCAAGGGGGGGGGGGGCAGTGCAGGGTTGATGGCGGGCAGCAGAGGAATGCACCCACGATAGTAAAAAGCTGCAAGGGATAAGCCGTACACACAACTCTGCCCTCCCAACCTGCACCCCCCCCCAATCCCGCGTCTCACATTCTCCACGGTGACAGAAGAGATGATGTGCTCGTTGTCAGCCACGATGGCCATGAGCGTCCTGAACGTGTAGATTTCATTCCCCACGAGCTGCTCCAGCAGCGGGATGTACGGCGCCAGCTGGTCCTGGTTCGGCCGGCACCGCCGGCACATGCATCCCCCACAGCCTACATGCATGCTCCGCTCCCCTACTCCTCCCTCCTGTCCCCCTGCCCTCCCACCCAACCACCATTCCCGCCCATCCCCCTCTCACATTCTCCACAGTGACAGAAGAAATGATGTGCTCATTATCAGCCACGATGGCCATGAGGGTCCCCGACGTGTAGATCTCATTCCCCACGAGCTGCTCTGTTCAGCAGCGGGATGTAGGGCGCCAGCTGGTCCTGGTTCGGCCGGCACCGCCGGCACGCCGCCTGCAGGTAGCGGTTCACGAGCTTGCACAGGCGCCGCACGTCAAAGCCGCCGAAGAGGTGCGGGTGCATGATGCTGTTCTGCGGGAGGCCCTTGCGGATGAGGAGCGTTTCCAGGATTGTCATCACGCCTGTTAGCACCTTCTGCTCCCGCTGGAGTACCTGTTAGGGGGAGGGAGGCAGGCGGGGAGCAGGGTGGGTGGAGGCGGTGACAAGGGGAGGAAAGGCTAAGGGTGACAGGGTAGAGGAGTGAAGAGAAAAGCATGGCAAATGAGGGTGAACAGAGCAGCAGGGTGGTGTGGTGTCGTGTGAAGTGGAGTGGACGGGTAGGGGAGGGCAGTACCTGGTAGACCTGGTTGGGAGGGCCTCTGAGGTTGAGCACATCGGGCATGTCTGACACCACGAGGGCGCGAATCAACCGCTCCAACTGCTCCGACACTGCCGGGCTGCCAGGGGGGGAGGCAACAGGCAGGGACGAGCAGATGGAGGGACGTGAGTGGTACGGAATGAGAGATAAGCGGTTGGGAGATGTGCAAAGAGTTTTGGGGAGGATTGAGGGATGGTAGGCTGGAGAGGAGCGGGGAGGTGTTCCGAAGAAAGAAGCAAAGAGTGTAGCGCAGTGCACTTATAGGGCAGGGCAGCGGTGGTTGCATAGGCAAGGCGGAAAACGTACCCGTATTTGAGCAGCACTTGCAGGAGGCCAGAGGAACGGATGCTGCGAGGAAGGGGGGTGGACAAGGTGGGTGGGTGGGTGGGGGGGAACGACTATTGCAAAATAAGAAGCTGGCACCAGCTGCTCGTTTTGACAGTCTAGAAAAAGGAACTCAGAACAATCAGGACACAAGCAGAGCAAGATGTGTAATCCACAACACTGTACGTGCCATTCCCATAGCACACCACCCCCAAGCGCAGAGCACCATCCCCCACAACAGCACAAGGTCACAGAATGGCCAGGGGGGAGAAGGCAAGGGGCAGAAGGCAGAAGGCAGAAAACAGGGGCAGGGGGCACCTTTTCTTGAGCTGGTAGTCGTCGTCGCAGGGCTCGATGTCGTCCACCCTGTCGAGCGCCGCCACAAAGTTGCGCACACACGCCGCCGAGTGCGCTTGCTGTGCGCACACGGTCCACATGGCGTGTGGGGAGGAGGCGCGGATATGTGAGTGAGTCGAGGGAATAACAACAGGGCAGCTGGCTAGTTCCGAATGCGATGGAGAGTCAATGGATGGGCATGGCATGGGGATGAAGAGTGTGGTGTGGGGTGGGGAGGATGCAGGGTGGCATGGGGTAGGTGGATGGCATGGCAGTGCGATGAGTGGGGGCGATGGCATACCGTGCATGTGAGCTTGACTGCTTGATGTGAGGCGACCTCAAAGACCAGCGCATCCTGAGGAAGAACGAACACACACACACACACCCACACACACACACCCACACACACACACACACACACACACACACACACACACACACACACACACACACACACAAGGCACATGCCAGATGCACTCTCCCATCATGCACCCACCATGCACACAATGCAGGCACCATGCATTCATCCACGCACACATCCGCACAAGACATGCCGACCGAAACACGTGAGCACCGGTCTCGTTGCGAGAAGCGCAGTAAGCGAATGAAACAAGGAGCAGGCACAGAGGGAAGAACAGGGGGCATGGGCGGGCGGGGCATGGAATAGTCAAGGCAGGCAGAGCTGACCTTCTGGTCCCAGGACTGGGTGAGGCCTGCTGACTTGCGCTCGTAGAGAGAGTCCAGCTGTGCCAGCAGTGCACGGCTTGACGAGTCCCCCGCTGTCATCGAGTACTCTCCCAGGCCCCCTGACACATACCCGTGCACGCCCTGGAGGGAGAGGGGGAGGGAGGGTGAGTGAGTGGTGAGCGGGGTTGGGAGGGAGAATGGGGAGGAGATGCGGAGGAGAAGAAGGTGAGATGGCATTTGATGGAGCAGCGAAGAAGAGTCGGTGTGGAGGGATGGAGCAAGAGTAGATATGCGAGTTGGAGGCATGGTTGTGTGATGTGATGAGGTGATATTGACGGAGAGAGCATGGTGAGGAGGAGCAGAGGGGTGTGAGTGAGTAAGACGAGCACCTGGCAGCGCAGCAGCGACTGATAGAGCACGGCAGACTTATCGTAGCCCTGCATAGGCGAGATGGACACAGAGGCACGTGCAGAAAAGAGCACCAACCATGCGTCAGTTGCAAGGATACACATGCAGGGGATAAGCTTTCTCAGCATTGAATCGAGCGGGCTTGTGGCAAGAGGGGGGAGAAACATTAAGGACGGTGATAAAGGAAGGGGGCGCGAGAGGAAATAGGCAGGTGGTGGGCAAGGAGAGAGAGTGAGAGCGAGAGGTATGCCTGAGTGACAGCGCCGATGGTCCATATGGTGCTGGGCTTGCGATACAGGTCTGTCACTGTCAGCGCTCCACTGCACGTTGGAACCACAATGAACCACAATGAGGGGCGCAGGCAGGAAGTGGGAGCACGATGACAAGGTCAGAACGTACTAGTGAGCCAAACATAACCAGTCAGGCATAGTGGAACTTGTAGACACAGCAAGAGCAAACAGGAGCAGAGTCGCACCAGTGAAGATTCGAGAAGCAAGTTCTACAAGTCGTTCTGATTGGCAGCTGCGCGTTGCAAGTAATGGAGTGCACATAGTTATAGGACAGGGGAATGGAACACGTGAGAGCTGTGGGCATGAACAGAGACGAGCGCAGAGGAGGCAGCAGGGCGGCAGCAGGGCGGCAGCAGGGCAGCAGCAGGGCAGCAGCAGGGCGGCAGCAGGGCAGCAGCAGGGCAGCAGCAGGGCGGCAGCAGGGCATACCTGAAGTCCTCTAGGCGCAGGTCCTGAGAGCTCTGTGGCTGGCGCTTGGACTCCAGGAACAACCCCGACGCTAGATGCCGCAGCGTGAAGCCCTGTGGGGGGAAGGAGAGAAAACGACGGTCAAGGAAGGTGGGGGGGGGAGGGGGTGGGGGGAGGGGGGGGGGGGTGGTCCGGGAGGGAAGGTGTGGAGGGAAAGGGGTTCTCGAAAATGGATATTCATGATACACGGGTTTAGAGCATCTTTTGAAGGAGGTGCAGGAGAGGAGCATGGAAGGCAGCAGGGCTGCCTTCGCTGCTGCCTGTGGATGCAGCACAGGTGGCGAAGCACATGGGCAGGGGCTAGGAATGGTGTGGACGCGTGCCTCCTCCCAAGACTGCTCCTACATTGGAAATTCGCTACCGTTCTCATCCTTGAATTGAAAGCAGCGGTTAATTTCCCTTGTACGTGGTCCTCTGGTCCCCTAGGAGGGTGTTCAGCGCATGGGAGGGGAGATGACCTGGTCATAGGGCAGAGGGCGGCCTCCCCACTCCACACACGTGGGCTGAACCATCCACAGTGCGTTGGAGCTCGGGCCCCCATCCTGTGTTGGTGCTCGGCACAACAACGGGAACGCAGAGGAGGAGGCAAGAGTTGGAACACACAAGTAAGCATCCTGAGAAGAGGAAGGGTGTGCGAAATGCAGGAGATTTGACAGTTGTTGCAGGTTGAGGTTGGTAGCAATGGAGGGAAAAAATCACTGAAGGAATTTATGAAGGGACAAGTGCCATGCATGAAAGGGTTTGGTGTATGTGCACGAGACGATATGGCAAGGAGGGCTTGCCTGCTTGCGGGCCTCAAAGACGACCTTGCCCTCATCGCACACCAGATTCATCTCACTCGCCCTGCCACGGCCATGAGGGCACGAGGACCAGTGGTTCATAACAAGGCATGGGAGAGTGAGGCGGTGCAATCAGTAATAAACTAAGAGAAAATGATGAATACATACCAGCACGGAAGTTCAATGACCAGCCTTCCACTTCCATACCCACTGTGCTCATAAATGCCCACCAATGCATGGTCCATACCATACCCTCCAGGTCACATGCGAGGACCCATTGTAACTAAGCTTAGCTGAGCTATTGCACGCACCTGTGGATGAGCATGACGGCATCGCCTCCCTTGAGCAGCTGGCGAGCATTGGGGATGCGAGACTCGTGCAGGGCGAATGGGATGATGCGCCAGCCTGCCATCTCTGGCCCTGCGTTCACCTGCAGAGGCCGGGAGAGGGGCGCAGGCAACCACGGTGCGGGGACGAGCGGGGCAAGAGGGCTGTGCGTGCTTTGCAGGAGGGCTGATGCAGGCAGACACGTGATCACCACGTGATGGGAAAGCACAGGTGATGTTTTTGTCAAGGGCGCATGCTGCAGCGTGCATAGTGCATAGTGCATGGTATCTCACTTCTCTTGTGTCTGCAACGTATGGGTGTGAGCCCATGACTGTAGTGTCGCATGAACCCTCTGACACTCGTAGCCTGCCATGCATGCTCGCAGTGATTCACCGCACCCACACACGCACACACACCCATGGAACCAATGGTTGTTATTGCAGGTGGAAGGGGGCGCAGGAAGGGAACAGACAATGAGCACAGAGCACCGTCAGGGCTTGGGGTATCGGGTTTAGGGGGGACGCGGGGGTTGAAGGCAGAGGGTTAGATGGTATAGCTAGGAAGCATGCTGCATGCATGCAGCAGCAACAAGAAGAGGGAGTGAAGGGAATTGTTGGGATTGACAAGAAGGAAGGAGTAAACGAACGAAACCGTGATGGCCGAAAAGATATCACTAGCATGAGCTATGTTTATGGTGGACAGAGTATCGTGGCCCACCCAGCCCCGTTGAACTTGACACTAGTGAAGGTCGCTGCATCCCCAAATGCCACGTGCTCTCCTTCCCTCTGTTAGCCACGTATACCAATATGAGAGGAGGTGGGGGAGAGAGGGGCAATTATTGAAAAAAAAACAGGCAGCGGGGAAAACACTGGACACAGAAAAGTGAAACAGAGAAGGGGGAAGAGAGGGAAAGCACAAGGGAAACCAGACGGGGACAACCGAGAGGGGCATAACATAGGGTGCCAGGGTACAAACGCAGCAGAATGGCGACAGCGCGAAGAGGCCACTGCAAAAGTATGGTGTTGGAGATGCATGGTTCCCCTCACCTTGATCTTGTACGTTGGAGTGACACAGAACCAGGAGCCCATGTCTCCACCCTTCTGCAGCACAACCTGCCACGTCAGCACAACAATGATGCGTCTCAGCAGGCTGCGCATAAACATGTTCTCAGCCCAAACAGAGGCAACAAACAGCACTATCGCCCCTACAATACATAGCAAACGGTTGAGTCCGTCTCCAGAAAGCTGCTAGGCTGTCCCCGCACCACACGCATAAGGGGGAGGAGGAGGGGGTGGAGAAGAAGGAGGAGGAGCGGGAGGAGTGGGCGGTAATGCAAGAGGGCATGGCGGCAGTACCTACCTTGAGGTGGGACTTTTCGAGCTCGGACTGGGTGCGCTTGACTGTGAGGAACTTGTGGCTGGACACGTGCATCAGCTGCACCACCTGCCCGTACAGCACTGGGCTCCCCACCGACCGCACAAACTCAGCTGCCAACACACCATGTAAGGACATACCATGCCGTACCACGACAAGCCATGCCATGAAAGCCGTGCCAGTTGCATGAATAAGGGAGCGTGCAATGCCAGGCACAGGACGGGACATATGGAAGGGGGTAGGGCGGCAGGGAAGGGTAGGTGAGCGAGAGGTGTGATGTGCAAAGGAGCGCATGACGATGGGAGATAGGCTGCAGTGGAATGTGGACCGGAGCAAGTACAGCAAGGCACTGTTGAAGAAGTAGACGATGGAAAGGAGTTAGGTTTGTTGCGTACCATTGTTAAACGCCTGCTCCGCTTTGCTGGCACCTTCCCCCTGGAAAAAGAGAGAGGGGGGAGACAGACAGACAGACAGACAGACAACCAGCAGCACAATACAGCACAGTACAGCATGCACAAGGGAACAGAGGGGAGACAGAGCCCGGGGCAGCTGAAATGAGGGCACGAGCCTAGGGTGTTGGCTTAGCACGAACACGAGTGTAGCGATGCAAGCAGCATGCCCTGCAATGCAGCACGCCTTTCAATGCAGCAGCATGCGGTAACATTCCACAGGGCCAGCCAGGGCGTAAGCTGGAATGGCAGGTTGCAGCAGGCATGCGAGGGTGGGCGCACCTCCTTGGGCGGAATGTGGCCCGGGCGGACGACGCTGCTGCCGTGCGCGTCGTCCTTGGTGTTCCACAGCGAGTACTGGTACTTGATCCGCACCTGCCGCACCACGTCACACAGGTTCGTTCAGGACAGGAGAACAGTCACGCGTCAGGGAAGGAGATGGAAGTGCCTACGATGTGTGGGATACGGCTGAAGCGGCGATTTTGAAAGACAGAACAAATCGCTAAACTAGACACGTTCTGTCTTTATGAAGAATAACAGCGGATAACAGACAATCCCAGAGGATTCTTGACAAATGAGGCAGCCGTATTGAGACTAAGATGATGGACGGATAAATATTGAGGGAAGATGCAAGGGGGAGAGAAGGCAAAAAGGGACGATCGCGGGGAGAGAGTTCGCTGTGTGAAGCAATGCAGGAAGAGAACTCATTGAGGGTGTCAAAACGAGGGAACGCCGTGCGACGCTGCTAGATCACCGCTACTGCGCTTCGCGTACTTCGAACTTGGCGTTATCGAGGCACGGCGGGACGTCGACGTTATCGTCCAGAATCTCGCAGCGCACTCGCTCGTCCACGAGTCCCGACCCCGTCAGGTACCCGTGCAGATCCATGCATCCCAGACACACCACGTCGCCATACGTCAGCTTCTCGCTCTCCATTCCGCCGCTTGTGACTACCGAATCCCGCACACGCCAAAGTCAGCTGAAATAAATGACGTCGATCTGCTGCGTGCCACTAAGAAGGCCGGATTCGACCTGATAAATTAAAACGAAGGAGTGCTCTGCCTGCCATTACGCGGCATCGCGGTCTTCCCTAATCGTTGCTATTTAGAGGTAAAGCCTAGAAGGTTGACCGAAAATAGTTGAATCCTTCCCTCATCACCACGCAGCGACACAGTGCATATGGAAAATGCTCCGCGGAGCGAGTCGACTGCACACAAAATATGATGACATCATATCATAATGCTCGCTCATATAAACCCATGTTGATGTGCCAACCAAACAGAACAGAATACAGGTGCATCGGGCAGTTGCTCCAGCGGGCGGGTAGAACAAATCACACGCACGGCGAAGTTCATATTTTCATCAGATGTTGACGAAATCCCATCGTTAGGAGGGGGGATCAGTCACTTCACTGACGGTCGGTGGCCTACGGCAAACGTGGACAGACATCACGAAAACGTTGGCTGGGGAAAAGGTGTGTAGTGGCGGTGGTCGCGCTGCTGCTCCTGCCGAACATCCATCACATCATGCTGCTGATTGCTCAATAGCGAAACACTACAGTAGTGCGAAGGAGACCCGCGTAATGGTCCCCAACGGAAAGTGCTTCCACGCCACACATGCTTGGTTGTCTTGAAAGTAGCTCTGCTGCTGTACAGTAAACGCGGTGTGACGACTGCCGGCGGGTAACCATCATCCCACTCGCCGTGTCCTTATCATTGGCTCGCGACAGAGTGGGTGAAAGGCAGATAACACATGGTTTCAAGAAGCAAGCTTGGCATATCCAAGTATCTTTCTAGTATCAACTGGTGTTTACTCGAATGTGTAAATTACCAGTGAGACATAGCAGAGCATTCCCCAACCTAAAGCCTTCCCACTTATGAATGCTTCAAAGCATCTGGCCATGTGAGATCACAGTAGAACAAATGCTACAAGTGAACGAACCAACGTATGAGCGATGTGGCACGCACGTCACCGCAAGTCACTAAGCACAATGGCATGTATAACCCAATAGCTGTGCGCCTGATTGGTGTTCCCACATCCTTCAGGGGATTTGGCGATTGTATGGCATGTCTGATCCAAGAGCCTTTCTCTCCTCCCTCTCCAACTTGATCTGAACAAACAACAATGTAGCAGAGGATTGAGAGGATAGAACAAGTACGGTAATGGCCCGCATCTCCCTAAACACACTACCAGCTCCGCAAGCCACTTCCGCGCACATCATCTTCCTTTTTCCCAGCCCTGCTCCCAGTTGGCCAATCATGTACAAGAGATTTTGAGCGACTGACGAATGCATCGGACACAGACACAGGAGAAAGCCGTCTGAACAGAACAACGGGCGTTGCGATGCAAGAAAGGGTTGGCGTACCTTATGGAGCTCCTTCTGCAGGTAAGGCTGGAATGGTGTTTGCTTTTCCTGAACACAAACGGCAGCGGCGAACCACAACACAACAACCAATCAAGCCAAAAGGTGCACAGTTTCAGGGATGAATCAGGTGTTCTCACTGCCATGAATCGGAAGACCTAGCAGATGAAGATGCATCGTAAGTACCTCAATAAATTAGATCAAAAAACTTAGAGCGGGTGAAGGTACCTGAAGCTCCTTGGGAAGTTGGGTGTGCTTCATGGAGATGTCAATGGCACGCTTCAGCCGTTGGTTCCGCGCGTCTACCTCCGCTTGAGGCAGCCGCTTGAGGGCTTCGGCAACGTCCAGGTCATAATACGGATCGTAGAGATCGTCATACCGAAGACCTGCTTATCGGGAGGCGAGAATGTACAGATCTGGTAAGTACTGGTGTAAAAAGACTCCGCTCGCGAAAACAAGTCGAAAACACGCTTTCTGCTGAAGAGAAAGTAGGTGCTTCAGCACGTCTGAAGTAATCCGTACTGGCACCAGATCGTACCGTATTTTTTCAGTTGAGCGCCAACAATACCACGGTACCAATGAGACGCCCAGTTGAACGCGGGTTCGGTGAGCTTGTTCAGCGTCTTGGCTAGACCAGCCATGGCTGAGCTGACGTGATCACACAAGCCGTCAGATACCTAGACGATGCTAAACGGCAGCTAACAGGGTTCCCACAAGCCGTAGTTGCGCGGTGGTGACAAGACAACGTTGCGGAAGAGGCTTGGGCACACCATTCTCAACTTTTCCAACTGGGTGTTACATGGTAGCGTTACATGTCCACTTAGTAAAAAACCCGTTTAGCTACATTGCATGTTTGTAGCAGAAAAAGTTGGAGGTTCACTAATGTTGGTTCAAGCATGACATGAGGGCTGTATCACACCCATGTGTTGTTAAGTGTTACTTGTTAAACTATTATGACTCGCATTGCGGGATTTTCCTTGTTCCCCTCCCCATCCTCCGCCTCCATCTCTACCTATTCTTGTCTTTCTCTTTGCAAAATCCTCAGTGTTACCTAGACCTTCAAACACATGAAAAAACAGCATAACAAAGCCAGAGGGCCTTCCATACATGAACTTACATAAAACTTGCCTTTGCTTAGACTCCCACATCCCACGCAATCTCACCTCTCCCAGGCTCCAGCCCCTCCCTGCTGCCCCGCCCACCCTCCCCCCACATACTCCTCCACCGCCTCACCCTCATGAAACACCTTCAGCCCACACACCGCCCCTCCTGCTCTCCCTCTCCGTGCCCCTCCCTCCCAGTCAATACTAGCCAACGTCGCATTCCCAAGCAGCCCAGCAAAGTACGCAAAGGTACTCATGTAGGAGCCGGCTTCAATGAGCGTGTGGGCCTTGGCCATGAGGAAGAACTCAGCCATGGTGGGCATGCGCTGCCGCTCCATGTCCGTGCTCGCAGTCTTGGACAGATGCACAATGGACCCTGTCGAATAGAACACTGTCCCCAGTCGTGCCAGCCGCCGCACAAACTCCGGCCGGAGAGCCTCGTTGTCTGTTGTCAGGAGGATCGTGAGTGGACCACTGCTGCTCCTGCTCCTGCTTCTGTCTCTGCTGTTGCTGCTGCTGCTGCCTCTGGTTCCCGTACCTGCTGCATCCCTGGCCATGCTCCGTGCCGCCTTATCCTGCTGGAGCTTCTCCAGCAGAGACGCAATGCAGTCCCACAGACACCCCTTGAGAAACTCATGCGTCTTGCCCTTCTTCCCCTTGCTCCCCGCACCCGCCTCCTCCTCGTCCTCCTCCTCCGCGTCCTCACACCCCACTCGACTCAACTCCTCGTCCCCGCGCCCCCGAATCTGCTCAATCGCAGCGGGCCGCGTGCGGATATGCAGAGCAACATCAAACATGTCCCCATCCGCCACTCCCTTCTGAGACGGCACGGGGGGTGTCCCCTCCCCCATGTGCTGCAGCAGCACCTGCCCTACGACCTCTTGTAATAAGCGTGAGGGGCCGAGAAGGAGCTCGTGGATGGCGCGGGAGTGCACGCACCAGAGGGAGGAGCAGCGGAACGCGGAGAAGACACACGCCTGCACGCGCGGGTACAGCTGCCAGAAGCCGTCAAAGTGCGATGGGGACTTGCTCAGCATGATGGGCCCTGTGAAGCCCAGGCTGCCCTTGATCTCTGGCACGCGGGTGAGGGGACGTGTGTGCGTTGTGGTAGGGTGGGCGGGGAGGGGAGAGGGGAATTGACGGAGAGATAGTGAGCAAGTGAGTGGGATGGGAGAGACCTAGTCGGCGCCATAGCACAGTGAGGTGGCAGGGAGACAGGCAGATATTGGAGAGGGTACACGACCGGGCAGGGCCACGGCAGCAGGTATGCAAGTGTGAGTCTGCAAGGCAGGGTCACGGCACGACAGCGCAGGAGAGAGCGGAGAGCAGCAGCGGGAGGGAAGGAGAGTGCGGGGAGTGCGGGGACTCACTGCCGGAGGTCTTGAAGGCGGACTGCAGCTGCACGGGCTGCAGCAGCTCCAGCTGCCGGTACACACCCATGGTGCCGCCCCATGGGCCCGTCTCGTTGGACCACCGGATGGCGTCAAACCCGCACGTGAACGCCGCACACAGCGTGTCGTACACCTGCTCGTGCCCATGCCCGTGGCGGTGATGCCAGCGTGATTCAGAAAGGGCGGGAAGAGAATGCGTTAGCGATGTCAGAACGAACGGATGAACAGCGATGAAGAGCATGCGATACACAAAGTGGGGTTGACCAGCGTTGCAATCCGTGATTCCTACAGGCAATGCACAGCGACATTCCACACATGAGCCCATCACCCAGCACCCACCACCCATCACCCCGCACCCAGCACCCAGCACCCATCACCACCACCCAGCACCCATCCCCACCACCCAGCACCCAGCGGCACCTTGGCGTGCTCGGCAGCATGCAGGCGCACGAGGCGGCGACCGGCGAGGCGGGCATAGACGAACGCGGAGACGTAGCCGCGCAGGCTGTTGCCCAGCCCGTGCCGCGGCATGAACAGCAGCACCCGCCGCTGGCCCCCCCGCAGATCCGCCACCGCTGCTATGGGCTGCCTGGGGGGGAGGCGCAACGGGGGCGATGGGGGAAAGCGGGGGATGCGGGGGTGGGGAGTGGAGGAGAGTGGGGAGATGGGAGAAAGAGGAAACGAGTTTGGAAGCGAAAGGGGGATGGGGGGGAGGAGGAGGGGGCTGCAATGAGCAGGCGCGCGTGGGACGCACACGCGGGAGGGACTCACTGGTTGTCCACGAAGTAGAGAGAGGGCGAGATGATGCCGCGGCACACAGCCTCTGACACCACCGAGATCTCCATGTGCCTCACGTACGGCGTCAACCCCACCGCGCCCTCCCCCTCCCCCTCCCCCGCGCCCGCGCCCTCGCCCGCGCCCCCGCCCGCGCTCCCCCGATCCACCCCTCCTCCCTCGTCACTCCGCGCCCCTCTCCGTTCCCATTCCGCCGCTCCTATCCCCTCATCCTCCGGATTCCCCCCGCCCGCCCCCCCCGCGCCTTGCAACCTGTGCGTGTCGCGGCTACGAACCGCATCCGAGCTGGCAGACCCTATTTGCAGCGCGGTGCGGTTTCCCCGCCCCCTCACTGCTTCCAGATTTCCCCCCACGCCTTCCCCCGAAGCTGCGCCCTTGGCGGAAAACCCTCGCGCGCCCCAGCCCCCCGCGAGGAGCGCTCCGCGGTCGGTATCGGACCAAAGGAGCGGAAAGTAATGGCCGGCGAAGTTTGCGAGGAGCAGCAGGAGCACGAAGCGCAGCGGTCGCGACGGAAGTGCGTCGAGGGTGTCGAGTATAGGTGCGGTCACGCCGCCGCTTCCGCCGCCGCTGCCGCCGCCGCCTTGGCCGTAAGCGAAGGATCGCTTCGGTGCCATGCGGTGCTACTGGTGACTACGAGTCGAGATTCGGGCTCATGTCACATGGCGAATCGATAATTCCTGAACAAAAATGCGAACTCTATGAAATGAGAAACGGATTTCACGCCGGTTGCTGTACCTTGTTGTGAAAATCGATAGCAGCTAGACTAAAGCCGTCGCAAGGAGAGTTGCCGCAGCAGGAATCGAAGTGTGCTTTGTGAGCTGCCCACCCAACACACCTCGCAAGGTTGGGTGGTTTCTCGCTGCAGACAGCTTCGTTACTGACCCTGTGTTTGGAAGAAGAACCCACTTTCGACTCTTAGAAACATTAGAGTTCATTCTGACGCCTCAAAACTTGGGAACTGAAGTTTTTTGGCGGGAACTGCGTGTCCCTCCACCCGCCAACCATTTCCTCATTTGAATTTCTCGTCTCGTCGTGCCTCATCGTCACTCATTTGTCTGCTCGAAGGCCGCTTTTCCTCCGCAACGCACCTTTCTCGGCTTCTTCTTCCCCTGCTTTTCCATTACAGCACCAACTCCATCCCACCAGGGTAGTGCAGACCTATTCGCCCCTGCCGCTGCCTCTGCCGCTGCTCGTGCTCCTTGTTGGGAGAGCCTCCGCGGTTTGTGCTTTCTGCTGCCGCTTAGTTGCCACCCTTCTAGTAACGTCTGGTACAGTCGAGTATAGTCTAGTACAGTTTAGTAAGACACGGTTACTAGTATTTCGCCTCTCTCGCGCGCGCGGAGGACTTGCGCGCATGGAGGCGGCGGAAGGCGGGTTGACGGCGTACGAGCGCCTGCGCCAGCAGATCCAGGAGCGCAATGCGGCCAAGCTCCGCCAGCTCGGCGTCACCGCGTCCGCGGAAGATCTCACTACCGCGATCGCCGCCAAGAAGCGCGCCGCCCCGTACGGAAGAAGCTAGACAGGGTCTTAGCGCGGATCATATTATCGAGGAACTTTAATTGTCTTTTCATTCTACTCCCAAGGAGTTTGGCCCGAGCGCCAAACTGAGATAGTGTTGTCGAAGCCGAGATAGTTTTTTTCTTTTCATTAATTCAAGTCAGCACGCACGCGCCTTTTCGTCACTTTCAACGCCCTGGCACTTTCCCTGCCTTTCCTCCTCCCTATCCTCCTCATTTCTCCGCTTCTCTCTTATTTTCGCTTCCTGTTTCTCGTCCGCTCCTGTCCTCCGCGCGCCGTGCCCTTCCCCGCGCAGTCCCCGCCCCAAGCCCCACTCCGCGGAACCTCAACAGACCTTGCGCCGATCCCTCCGGAATCGCGGCATGGCTCCGGAAAACGCACCTGCGGATGGCGAGGGGGACGGGGGGGCTGTTTCCGCCAGCGCTGGCGCTGCCATCGCGGAAGAGGATGCGCGGGAAAGGCATTTGCCCGCGCGGAGTTTGAACCGCGAGGCGGAGGAGGACGCGGCGCTCATGCGCGTGTTGCGCGCGCGCATGGTCCCGCGGGGCTTTGCGCTAGAGACAGAGGAGACGTCCGGGGACGAGGGCGGGGAGGAGGGGGAAGAGGAGCGCAAGCGAGAGGGAGAGCGTGGGGCGCAAGGGGGGAGTTTTGACAAACCACCTGGGGGGGATACGAGCGGCGGAAGGAGCGAGAGGCGCAGCAGGAGGGGGAAGGGGATGAAGGCGGAGAAGGCGGAGTCTGACGAAGTGAGCGACGGCGTGGGGGGCGTGCGGCGGTTGCCTTGTCCGGCAAGCGAGTGAAGGGGCGAGGAACAACGGGAGGGAAGGGAGAGCATGGCGTGAAGGGGACTGCTGTGAAGGAGGAGGTAGGGGAGGAAGGGGCGGAGGGTGAGAGGATTAGAGAGCAGGGGTGGGTTAGGGAGGCGGTGGAGAGGGGGAGGTTGCAACTGGCGGAGGGCGATGTGGTGAAGCTGACCAAGGAGCGCATCCACAATGTCATCATGCTGCCCTTCCGGTATGCTGCCCTTCCGGTATGCTGCCCTTCCGGTATGCTGCCCTTCCAATATGCTGCTCTTCCAGTATGCTGCTCTTCCGGTGTGGTAGATGCAGGTTCCATATCTTGAGACATGTTCCAGCGAGCAGATCGTGAGTCATGTCCCAAGATCAACGTCTTTATACTGCCCTTCCGGTATTTATGCTCTGTGCCCTTATATGCGCTGGTGGCAGCACGGGGCAAGGCGGGTAGGTGGGCGTGTGGGACCTAGGGCACATGGTCGCTCACGTTGCCCACAACGTAATTATGCTGCCCTTTCGGTATACTGGACACGCTGTGCCTACCTCGACGCGATTTTTCTTCACTTTGTTGTTTCTTGAACGCCCTACCAATCACCCTTGGTTGCTCAAGAACAATATAGCTTCGTACCTCGTCCCGCGCCCCTATGTCTTCTTGTTGCCCGCCCTTTCCTTTCCCTCACGCCCGTGCTGCACGCGAGAGACTTGTTGGTGGTGGTACAAGGGGGCGAGGCAGAGCAGGTGGTTGTATAGTACCCATGTCAGAAATCCTTTATCACAACCCGGTCAGAAATCCTTTATCAAATCCTTTGATCGCTTACGCTGCACCCATATCACGTTGCCCATGCCATAACCCACCCTTCCCTTCCCTCCCTCCTTTCCGTTCCCTCCTGCATGCCAGGGATCGCCTGGTGGTGGTGGCAGGGGACAAGGCAGGGCAGGTGGGCGTGTGGGACCTGGGGGACATGGACGCTCGCGGCTGCTCTGCTGCTGCTGCTGCTGCGACTGGAAGCGGCAGTGCTGATGGCAGCAACGGTGGAGGGGCATCGGAGGGTGCGACGGGCATGTTCACCTTCTGGCCGCACCGCAACCCTGTGTCAGGCCTCGCCCACTGTCCCTCTCCTCGCCTCTACTTCTCCTAACTTTCTTACCTTTCTTTGCTTGTCGTTCGAACCCTGCAATTTGCCCTCCGTCTCCTCCTCCTCTGCTTCCCACCCCAACTTCCCCTTCCCCACTTACCACTCCCCTCCCATTCCAAACCACCAGGTCTACACCGCCTCATACGACGGAACGCTCCGCTGCCTGGACGTCACCCGAGCATCCTTCCTCCTCCTGCACTCCTCCTCCCAATTCTCCTTCTCCACCCTCAGCCCCTCCCCGCCCTCCTCGCCCTTCTCCCCTCTCCTCCTCCTCGGAACCTCCTGCGGTCACCTGGTTGCATTTGATCCCCGGGCATCTCACGGCGGCCCTGTGGGCAGCTGGAAAATTCACGGGAAAAGAATCTGCACTGTCAGCTTCTGCCCCGGGCAGGAGGAATTTTTTGCCACAGCGTCTACTGACCAAAATGTTTGCTTGTGGGATGTGCGAAAGATGGTGGGAGGGGGGGAGGGAGGAGGAGGAGGAGGGGAAGCGGAGGAAAAGAGAGGGCGACGGGCCGGAAGGGAGTGGCTGGGGTCGGTTATTCGGTGCAACTCACTTCTCGTCATCACCCTCTCCTCTCATGAACCTACCGCATAGCCGCGCCGTCAACTCTGCGTACTTCTCCCCCGATGGAGCCTTCCTTGTCTCCACCAGGTGTGCGCCTTACCTGCTGACCCTTGTGTTAGTGTTAGTCTTCAATCTCACAATTTGTACTTTGTATTTTCTATATCCTAGAGTAGTGTAGTTTGCACATTGTGTTTGGTTGGGTGTACACCTACATCCCAACCAAACCCAAATGTAATCTCCAACCAATCTCCAACCCACCAATTGGAGATTGCCTTGGGATTACCCCCAATCCCTAGAGATTGCCCCCGATTCCCTTCCCCATCCTTTTCCTACCCCTCTTGGATGTACTTAAAGAGCTTCAAGCTCATTACTAATGCATCGCTTCTAAGCCTATTTCTGACATGGTATCAGAGCCCTTCAACCGCATACGCGGATCGTGATCTTCTTACCTCTGCGGATACTCGTCCCGCAAACCTCGGCGAAGCCATCGTCAACCTCGTCGCCGGTGATTCGCGACATTCGTCGGCGGAAATTTTCCCGCTGCACCTTCCCGTCACTTTCGACGGTAATTTATCTGGTAAGCGCATCGTCCGCGCTATAACCTAACGCTCGCTTTCCTCCTCGTCGGGCCGCCGCCCGTCGCCCTGCAGCTTCTCGTCGGGCTGCCGCCCGTCGCCCTGCAGCTTCTCGTCGGGCCGCCGCCCGTCGCCTCGCAGCTTCACGTCGGGCCGCCGCCCGTCGCCCCGCAGCTTCTCGTCGGGCCGCCGCCCGTCGCCCTGCAGCTTCTCGTCGGGCCGCCGCCCGTCGCCTCGCAGCTTCACGTCGGGCCGCCGCCCGTCGCCTCGCAGCTTCTCGTCGGGCTGCCGCCCGTCGCCCTGCAGCTTCTCGTCGGGCCGCCGCCCGTCGCCCCGCAGCTTCACGTCGGGCTGCCGCCCGTCGCCCCGCATCTGCACTCCTACCCCTTCCCCCTTCCCGCAGCTGAACAGGTGCAGCAGCGCAGCCGAGCAGCCGTGTAGCCGCGAAGCAGAGCAGCCGTGTAGCCGCGAAGCCGAGGGTGGTGTGTGGGGGGATGTGTGATAGATCTACGGAAATCGGCCGATTCGACCTAATTTTGGCGGCCTGAAAAGGAAAAAAAAAAAAAAAAACCTTCTACGTGACATTCCGACGCGGCCGACATTGACGATTTTCGCTATTCCGGTCCGTCGGATTTCGGAATCGCCGCGCTGCGCGCCGCTGAAGTTCCTATCGGTGACTTAAGAGCGGCGCTCCGCGCGAGAAGGGGTCTCCACCATGGCTCTCTCGTCTTCCACCATGGCGAACCCCATCACCCCGCTCCGCCTTGAAGCTGATGGCTCTAGCTCCAACTTCAAGGCGTGGAGCTACGGAGTTGACAAGCACCTCCTGAGCCGTGACGTGCAGGGCCTTGACCTCAAGGACGTCCTCCTCAACCGTGGCAAGGGGAAACAGCCTACTATTCCCCGTGAGCCGACCGAATCTCCAAGTGATACTGACGTGAGGGCGTACGAGGAGGCTGTTGAGAAGTACCGGAAATGGGAGAAGGCCGATGCTGCCATCATCAGCGTCTTCATCGCCTCCACCCCTCCCGAACTTGTCAACACGTTCCATAACTACCCTACCTCCAACGCCATCTGGAAGTACCTCCAGGATCGGTTCATGAACAAGACGGCGGTCGGCGTGGCCATTCTCATCCCTAGCATGTTTCAGGTCCGCCTTGAGGACTGCTCGGGAATGGCCGATTACATTGCCAAGGTGCAGACCATTCATGGCGAACTCAAGGAGCTGGGTATAGTCTTCCCCGAGCAAGCCCCTGCAGCCGCCCTACTTGTTGGACTCACCTCGGCATATGAGGTCACGAGGAAGATGCTCCTCACACTCTCAGCAGAGGACCTCACCTTTGCTAAGGTCTCCACCGCACTCCTCTCTGCCGAGAAAGACTCCACGGCTCAGGCCAAGGCGTACGCTATCCGCGCTCCCATGCCTCAAGCAAGTGTCGCAGCGGCTCTCGCCTCGGCGCCCTTCCAGCGCAACCGCTTTCCTCCGTGCCCCTACGTCGTCAAGTATGGGAATCGCAAGGGACAAGTGTGTGGTGGCACTAACCACCCCCTCGCCACGTGCTTCAAGAAGAAAGACGACGAATGGTACGCCATTCACGGAGTGGACAAGAAGCCGCCGAATTGGATGCGCTCTCGCAAGGCCAACCTAGTTGAGGTCCAGGACCCCGCTTCGACTAGTGCTAGTGATGCTGCTCCTGCTGATGTGCGTATCAACCTGTTGTTCCCTGGCACTGCCATGATTAATGAAGCTACCTCACAGTACATCGGCTCATCACACGCACCACAATACATAGAGTTCACACTCGATAGCGGGGCCACTCACACCGTGCTCAAGGAGACCCTCTCCTTCAAACCTTACCCAACACCTATCCCTCTCTTAGGAGCTGACTCAAGCTTCACCACCCTCGCCAAGGGTACCTCCACAGTCCCATGCCCCGCCTTCCCATCCGGCACTGTCACTGGCATGTGCGTGCCTTCACTGCGTCACAATCTAGTTGCCCAAACAGAAATTCAGGAGGCAGGGCTACGCACCATCTTCCCAGAGAACGAGGACTATTGCGACATCATCGATCCACGCACCAACAAAACTCTGGCCCGCTACACCCTCAACAGCAACGGCCTCTACACGCTACGCGTCCCTCTCCCACAGGTGTCAACCACCCAAGCACAGGCCACTATCACACCATGCTCATGTCGCACCCTCTCCAACCCGACCATCCTCTACCACCATCGGCTCGGGCACCCAAATTTCCGCACTCTTGCTGACATGGCCTCCAAGAAACTTCTCCTCGGCCTGCCAGCCGCACTTCCCCCACCACCTGACTCACCAGCTCCCACGTGCCTTGATTGCACCAAGAGCAAACTGCGCCAACAGCCCCATGCTGCCTCACCCACAATCGCTGCAGCACCACTGGACCTCGTGCACATGGACGTCTGGGGCCCTGCCCCTGTTCTCGCACGAGGTGGCTATCGCTACTTCCTTATCATTGTGGATGACCACTCCCGCTATGTCTCTGTTCACCTCCTCCACACTAAGGCTGAGGCACCCGAGGTCATCATAGCGTGGGTCAAGCAGGCACAGACCACTTTTGACCGCAAGGTCAAGCGCCTTCACTCGGATGGGGGGGGTGAGTTCTGCAACGACAAGCTCAAAGCCTTCTGCTCCTCCGAAGGCATCCAGCAAAACTTCACCCTCCCTGACAGCCCTCAACAGAACGGCATAGCTGAGAGCCGCAACCACACCCTGGTGCAGATCACTCGGTGCCTCCTCAGCCACTCCAACGCTCCTCACTCTCTTTGGGGGTACGCTCTCTACCACGCTGCCCTCCTCTACAACCTTTACCCCCACCCGCACCTTCCCGACACCACTCCAACCACACTCTGGCTCGGGAAAACGCCCACTGCTCGCTCTCTTCGCGTTTGGGGATGCACCGCCTATGTCCTCCTCAACCCTCAGGCTCGACGGCATACCGGTGGCAAGCTCGGTCCCAAGACTCAGACGTGCATCTACCTCGGGCACAACGCCGACTCACCTGACTACCTCTTCCTCA